CGCGATCCACGCCTGCTGTATAAATTTCCGCCATATCTATCCGCCATCTTCGTCGTTGTCGGGATTGCTTGGCTCCTTCTCCTCCCGCTTAACGAGAACTCCCGCCTAACATACATCTCCGAGAACGCGCTCTTACCAGGACAGGTACACACGTACTTCGCGGGGAGTGAACAGCATGTCTTTCGAGGGTATAGACGGGAAATTGACCTTGTAAAGGATGCGGAGTATGACGCGTAAGTGATTTTGGTTTTATTTTTGGGCTTATCACGGCTCTGAGAGCACTCTTCACGAATTCGAGGGAGAAGGAGTATACTTCGAGGGTTAAAGATGCCACAGGACATCGGACATTTGACATCGATATTTTAATTGGTTCCGAGAGAGAGCTTGCTAACCCTCCGCGTTGCGCTGCCATCAACATAGAATTTCTAAAAAGATCCAGTCGATATTTCGAGAATCCGGTCTGAAAGTCGCAACGCAAGACTATGAGTATCAGTCAGCCGGGAACACGCATGCGGGACAAAATGTTTATGGCGTCATTCATGCTCCACGGGGAGATGGGACAGAAGCTATTGTTTTGGTGGCCGCCTGGAAAACCATTGACGGCGAACCAAACCTCAATGGCGTGACTCTGGCCTTAACTCTGGCTAGATATTTCAAGCGTTTGTCTCTCGTAAACCAAAATCTGCGAGCAGAATAACAACAATGCTAATATGATATTGGCACAGGGTGGTCGCTATGGTCCAAGGATATCATCTTCCTAATTACACCAGACAGCAAATCCGGTACACAGGCATGGGTCGACGCGTATCATGATATGCATCCCGCATCCGTTCAACCCCTCCCTCTAAAAAGTGGTGCATTGCAGGGTGCTTTAGTATTCGAATACCCATTCGACCACAGATTCGAATCTATCCATATAGTGTACGATGGTGTCAATGGACAGCTGCCGAACCTAGACCTATTCAACACCGCTGTTTCCGTATCCACAGGACAAATGGGCATTCCAGCATCCCTGCAGAAGATGTTTCACCACAACGATAGCTACAAAATGCGCCTGCAAACTATGCTTCGAGGAATGGTGAACCAAGGGCTAGGTAATGCCGCTGGCGCTCATAGTAGCTTTATACCTTACCATATTGATGCGATTACAATCCAGACGATCGGCAACGGATGGCAGGACGAAATGGCGCTCGGTAGGACCGTGGAAAGCCTTGTGCGCAGCTTGAATAATCTGCTGGAACATTTCCACCAGAGCTTTTTCTTCTATATTCTGATGCAATCGAACCGATTCGTCAGCATTGGAACGTATCTTCCCAGCGCGATGCTGATTGCTGGTAGCTTCACTATCATGGCAGTTGCTTTGTGGATGAAGAGCGGAGACCGTGCTTCACCAAGCCCAGTCATCAAGGATTCTGCGCCCAAGACGACGAAATCGAATGGAGGGAAACATGTCATCACTGAAGAGCAGGAAAAAAATGGCATTGTGGAACGGCATATGGCATTACCGCTGGCAATAGTGTTCGGATTACACCTTCTAGGTGTTCCCCTACTCTATGCGTTCACTAATATGTCTCACCAAGTAAGTGCTAATGAACAATTACAAAAAATCCGATGATCATAAAAACCTCGACTCTAACCCAATTTGCTCCCACAGTACTTCGAACAAGCAACCTACCTCCTCGCCTTCATTAATATCGCCCTCCCCATAATTCTGGCGGCCACCCTAACCCGCTTCTCAAGCCCATCAGCCCAACAATTTCTCCTCATAAAATCTTTCTCCCTTCTCCTTCTCGGTCTCTTCCTCTCCGCCCTCGCAACCCTAAACTTCTCCTTATCCCTCATGATCGGCCTTTTATGCACGCCCCTATCGTACGTTGGCCATATTCAAAACGCAACGAATTCACAATCATCTGTTTCGACGGACAAGGCCAAGAAGGCAACACCTTCATCCTTCACGTCGGTGACAACCATCCTCCTATCAGTGGTAGGACTCATCTTCATGAATCTACTTTCGCCAACTGCGGTGCTATTGGCTGCGTGTCACTTCTGGCAGATTCCGGTATCGACATTGCTGGTTGAGGCGGCGTTCGGATGGGACGTATGGGGTGTGTGGACTCAGGTAGTCGTATGGTGCATGTGGTGGCCAGCGTGGCAGTGTGGGTGTTTTTTACTAGCTTCGTCTTTTTTCTGAAGTACGGAGTAGAAAGCATGGCATGGTCACCGGTATTGAGTTGAGATTTGTTGTGGAACTGAAGTGCAAGGGTAAACCCGGCACCTTGGAGAAAGCTTTGCTGTGCTATTTACTTTATTTATTTTATAGATCACGCTATTATAAACCATAGTTGGAAATAAAAATGCCCGAGTTCTAGTGGAAGTAGTGCGGAAAAGCCGTGTGTCAAAATTTTCAACATTTTTCACATCTTTCGGGCTAAGTTCATTTCCGGGGCATATATCAGGACCCTGCTGACGTCTCATACACTGTCCCCTTGGTTACGCCCTGTGATTATCTATCCTTCGAAGAATTCTTGCATAAAATTGATTTTTTTGGGTACAACTTGATACGATCTATCATGAATCACAATGTAAAGGCTTTCCCGAACACTAATTTTGAATCAGATAAATTTTATAATCTTACACAGAGCGGGCTGGTTAATGTGGACTCACAGCGAACGGGTAGCATGTGGCGTTTTAATATATGGTGAAAAAAACAATACAGAGAGGACTATGAGACGAGATAATTGGGGGAATATCTATCTATGCAGCCCAAACATCCTTCCCAACTCCCTCAATCCAATGGCCCAGTTGATTGACCCCAGAATCCCACTCGCGCAACCGATTCCGCATTCCCTCGATCTGGCCCATGTCCAAAACCTTGGGCTGCACCCAACTGATCCGCGCAATCTGCGCAACTTGATCGATAGTCCCCTTGAGCAGACCAAGACTAAGCGCCTTCATAATGAGATGCTCGATCTCATTAGGCTGCACTTTTGTCTCTTGTGATATCGCAGTGAAGGTCATTGTGCGGTCGTGAGGCGGTCTTCGGAAAACGGTCTCCGTCAGCGCAGCCAGAGAGATTTTCTGGTATAAGAAGACCTTGTGTTGTTCCAGGAGTTGGTTTTTGCTAATGTTTCCCGCGAGGACGTCGTAGGCGGCCAGGTCGCCGCGATTAAATGCAAAGAGCAGGTCGCGGAGCCAGGCATGTTGTGTGTTTTTGAGAGAGTCAAGGACGGGGTGAAGGAGGAGTTCTCCAAAGTTGTAGATGGAGTCGGAGACGAGGGCGGCTATGCTCAGGTCATATGCTCTTGCGACGCAATCTTCTTGTGTCAGGTCTTTGACGTCAACGCACGCGAGGTAAAGGAGGGCGTTTTTATAGTAGGAAGCGAATTCTAGTTTGGCCTGATATACTAGCGTTAGGAAGAAGGCCGATTGTAAATAGGTGTTATGTGGCGGAACTTACGTGGTAGTAATCCGCATTCACTTTGTAGAATGCGGCATGTACAACTGTCTCGACAGAATCGAAGGAATCCAACACGCGTTCTGAGGTGTCCAAATCCTTTCGCGCTCCCTCGAAATCCTTTAGTCGCAGCTTCACACTGGCCACATCTGCCATGGCATAAACATATGCATCTTGTGATCCAGGTTTGTTCACCCTCTCAGCCAACGATGTAAGGAATGCAAGCCGTTCCTGGTCGTCTAAAACCCCCAGTATTAATTAGATTGTTAAATCGCGCCATATCACCATTCCCTTTTGAAAATAACGTAGACAAACCTTCACACTGCGTTGATGCCATCAACCCCAGCGTCACAAACTTCAACTGATTGATCTTGTCCGCGAAGCTGAGTATGAAGTTCTTGAAGATGGCTAATCTCTGTGGTGCGCTTTCTGGGAGGCAGAAGAATTCTATCAGGGCATTCGTGAGCTGATGCCATAGTTTCCGCTCCCAGAAATCTTCAAATGCTAAAAAGGATTCATGGGACTCGCTGAGAGCTTCTTCCCGCTGCTCTGCGAGAAAATCGGGGATCTTATCGGCCTGCATGGCAGGCAGAGTGACGGGGGAGCTGGTATTGTTCGAAGCTAGATAGCACGTGAAATATAATGTGAAAATTATACGGTGGAAATATGGGACTCTCAATGTAGTTATATTCGTTTGACGAGGGAGATGTTACTGGTGTGTCTGGGACGGATGATATTTGGATGATGTTGGATGAAGCTTAAAATAAGGCGTTCATTGTAACTAAGTTAGCGCTACATTCGTGGATGAATAATCCGGCCTCGTCTTCCCAATTCCTCCAAGCTGCCTGCAGTGGTAGCCAGCAACAAAATTTATTCTTGGTGAAAAAGCTATTAACCTGGGTAATTATATTACACTCTGCATATCTTTTATTATTTGGGGTCATCCAAACTCTTGACCGGCCGAATTGGACCTCCTCCATCGGACCGGGGCTTACCTATACATATACGGAGTGCCGAGTATACGGAGCATATATCTTCATCATCGCGTTCATCCACCAACATTCTCCTTAAACTACTCCGAGGTGGTACAAACCCATACGATCTACAAAGGCGACAGGCCTACTCCGTGCTGGTGAATATGATTCCAACCCAGACGGTCGCCATGCCTTTTGGACATACAGAGTACTCCATACATATTGGAGAATCAAAAACAAAATGAACCAGCCATCTTCACTTCAACTACTCCGCTACCGCGTACGGAGTACTCCGTACTAAATTTGAAACGGTTAACACTAAATGTTACGCCGTACGTACCTCACAATTCCAGACAGAATCATACGCTTTATGCTACCGGGCTGGTTCCTCCATCGTTGATGATTATCCCATTTTCTCCTTCTGCTTTATTTTTTTTATTTTTTTTTTGGGGGTTATATTGTTTCCCCAATACTAATAGCCACTTATCACCCACGGGGAGAACATTACATACCGAAAAAACTTGGTGGGGGCCAATATATTACTATTCGCTCGATCTCTTCACATACAAACTGGGCAATTGGTTTAGTGGTATAATACCCCCTTAGCAAACCGTTTCCGGCGCTGTAAACAATTGGGGGTGGTCGGGAGTTCGATTCTCCCATTGTCCATTCTTTTTTATTTCGTATTTACTTTAATTTTAGTTTTAATTTTAAATTCTTATTTTAACATAATTATTTTCAATAATGTGAGTAGCAATATACAAAGTATATATATTCTACAAGTCTATGAACGGGGATTTCATGTGTTTGTCACACCAACTTCTAACAGAGCCCCTGTAATTAGTGCCTAAGGAACCTCGGGCGCAGGCATCTAACCACTCGACCAAAAAGATCAAACATCAGTCATTAATAGCCATCACTATTACTAGCACTCAAACTCTATATATAGTTATATTCTCTAGAGAATATCGCTGTGGCATGACAGCCCCTGCCCGATTACAATTCACTCCGCGGATAACTATATTATGTCAGCCAAGGCTAGCTCTCCTGTGTGATTCCAGCCACTTTTCCTCCAGTGTTTACTGGTGGTGATTGAGCTCTTTTGCCCCAGTAGCCGACATATTACTTATTACTGATATAGTTAAGCAGAAAAAGCATTTTCATGGTTATGCATTAGCTTGTATTTATAGCATGAATAGTACGTAATAAAAAGTAATCTACACAGGCAATAAAGTATCTTTTTATTTCTATATAGTGTCTATACTAAGCTAAGCTTTGAGATGATTTTACCCTGAATTTTTGTATCTAAGAAGCTAGAAGTTAGAGTTAGACAACGAACTTAGCCACTCTGTTCTCATACGTACTCATGCACAGCAACTGAATACAAATTAATAATTATAATAAATTAATAATAATTCCTTTTATATAGATAACTAGCTAATATATGCAATTACAGTATCAATTTCATTTAACAAGACTCAGCTACATACAATACATTATAATTTATATACTGATAATTGAGAAGATAAAATCATTAACAATACCTCGAAAACAGGTTGGCCTTTGTCTAAAATAAAGGAAACAATAAAATGTAAAGTGTAAAATGTAGAAAGATAAATATAAGTATAAAAAAAATTAGAGGAGGTTTGCTGTCTTGCTGCCTGCTTCTGCTTGCAGTAAGAATAAGCCGCCCATATCATTATTCATAAGTTCATACACATATATATCATAAAGGTAAAAGGCAGAGAGTTGATGGCAGCACACATGTAACAAATAAATATATAAACCACGCAACATAACATAGTCTTGTTCAACTTGAGTGACTCAAGTCCGAAACATAGAGTGAGCGCAGGTAAAAGCTAAAATCGATATCTTTTTTCAAGAGTTTCAACAAAGCTACGATGCTTTTTCTGTAGGTGATCTCTTAAACGATATTTGTTTTGCACGCTAAATTCGCAAAGCTTGCAAGCGTATCTCCGGCCATCGCGGCACCAGGTAACAAAATCATTGAAATGTGTGCTCGCATGCACATTTCCTTCGAGATGTCGGCATAGAAGTGTAATGTTTTGGAAATTCGTCATGGCAGGAACAATCTTCGCAGCGCAAATTGTACATGACGTTCGGCCAGATTTAATTTCAGAATGCTGAAGCCAAGTTTGAATAAACTGACTTCTTGTTGGGGGTGCTGAATTGACATAAGTCGGCACCTCACTATCCTCAGACATCATTACTTCGAAAACCGAATCTGGATGGGCATTTGCCACCAATTCATCGATGTAACTGTCGTCGTCATCATCATCATCATCATCCTCTCCATCTTTTTCAAAGTCATCATCCTCGTCCTCGTCATCATCCTCGTCCTCGTCATCATC